GCTTTGCTATGCTAAATCTCTCAAGGATCCTGTCTTATTACTAATTTGATGGAACACAAATTAATAAAGGTTTTTGTCGGTTGATTTAAAATTGTCATTGGATCATTCTTTGCAATCTCAAAGAAGAATTCACATTTTTGGAATAAAATTATTTAGCACTATATAAATTTAAAAATTATGAAGTCAGTTAGGAGCACCTGAGTTAAGGATTAAAAATTTTATTAATGTTATTCTCAACTTGTGTCAGGAAAGAGGGGGGAAAAAAGGGTTATTCTTCAAAACAATAAATTATGCTATTATGTTATTTAGGAAAAACAATAAAATTAAAGAAAAATAATTCAAAATTTTTTTTTTTTTTAAAAGAGGTCAAATAAAAATTTTACTTTATAAATCATCGCTTTCAAATGAAAATTACAATTGCATTTTGACCATAACTAAAGCAAAAACAAATACACAAAAAGGACCAAAAACTATCGTTTTGGTCAACAAAATATATATAACAAGAACTTATACATATTGCCATGAGATAATAAACTACAGAACTCGACTTTTGTAACATTTATATAATAGTATTTGTAAAGCATAATAAATAGATACAGGCTGTAATGTTTCCTTGTAATTACAATTAAAATATAAATATTCAGTTTTTAAAACAATGTGATACAATAGAATCATAATGCACAGAATGTATAATAAAATTGTGAACGTATGGAATAACTTGTAATCAAATAATCTTATTTTCACTAATTAGAACTCAATCTCAGATAGCCTGACCTTATATGTGCTAATTAATTAGTGCAGACGATATTTTCAATCATGTAATCAGATACAAAAATGTATTTTTTCCTGAATAAACATTTTTTTGTTGTTGAGGGATCTGGAATTTTGACACCCAAAACATATAATTTCAATAGTATACGTAAGAGAGCGGTCGAAAATTTGAACCCCATTAATTTCACCCTTTGTACATTTTCAAATTTCAAATAAAAAATATTTTTAAATTTTTGTATCTTAAGACATACTCGACTCATTCTTTCAAACTAGATTTTGTCATTTAAAATTACAAAGGTTAAATTGGTGTAACAATTTGTATATCTTACAATTCAAAATTTGTTCGATTATTAATAAATTAAATAAAAAATGAATATAGAAAAAAATTATTTTTCATATAGTATTATCTTTAGATAAACTATGTTTAGATAAAAATTGTGTACAAAAATGTTTTAATTCACTTTATTAGTTCTGGCAATATGGTGAGATACGTAATAGTAAATTTAAATTTAAGTGAAATTATGTTAATTTGAAGGCTCAAACTTTCAATTGCTCTCCACCTGCCTAAAGTATTGGAACAATATTTTCTAGATTGCAGCTATTAGGCTACCCCCAGATTTTGAGCACCAAGAACCTAAATCAACCAACCCAAACCAAATTAGATTGTACTTTTTTTGTATCAGATTTTGTAATTTAAAATAATTAATGCTTTTTGCTTTTTTTATTTTGCACACTATATATTTTAAACTAGACAAGAGGAAAAACATTTATAGACACTAAATTTATTTAAAATCTGTCACAAATACTAAAGAAATAATTAATTCCTTATTTTAATGCCCACTAAAAATATTGCCGAATTCAGTTTAAAATATTGCTAAAATTGTGTAAGTAACAATTTACTAATTGAATAGTGAAATCTAACAATAAATAATACAATTATAATTTTTTTTTCAGAATTCATTTCTTTTTATTAGTAAAATTACATTATCTTTTTAAACTCTGTTTTGTTTTCATTATTGTAAAATCAGTTTTGAAGTTGGAATCCTTAATTAGAGCACTCACAGCATGTGGACTTTTTGCAAATCAATTACTTTAATGTTTTATCCTTCATTAATTAAAATTTTGTACCACTAATTATATGACCATTGGTCATGTTAATAATTCATATTTATCTATAACTTTGAATAATTATTTTAAAAAAATTACAAATATTAAATTAATAATAGATAATACACCATGAAATTCATAGCAATGCACTGAGGTGACAAAATCATGGGATAGCAATATAAAAATTTACAGAGGGCAGTAGTATCATGTACATAGGGATAGTGTACTGGCAAGACTTTAATTTGAGTTGCACTGATTATTGAATGGGAATGCTTATGTTTAGCTATGTGGAGTCATTCCTGGAGTTCGTGTATCTAAACAATAGAATTTTTATGGAGGAAATTCAGAATTCGCAAAAAAAAATCCAGGTTTTTTCATGGAAAAACTAAATTTTGCACAGGGAAAAGTGAGTTCAATTAGATTTTTTTCATGAAAATAACTAATTTTGCCTGAAGATAAGTGAGTTTTAAGTATATTCTACATGCTTACTTACATATATGAAATATAAACATAAAATAAAATACATTATGAAAAAAATATAGCTTGATTATTACCAAAGGGATTAATGAAAGAAATAGCTATGAGAATAACTATTTCAGTCATTTCTATACCTTGCCTTATGAATGCATAAAGATGAAATTACTGACAACGTAAAGCTTAAGTTTTGTAATTAGTTTCAAAATCTAAATACATTTGCTTTAAAATTAACGAATGGGACTTCTGAAAGCATTGTAACCGTGATGGAATATTCCTGCTTGGCTGAAAGGTTAAACATTCCTGCAAGAGACTTTCATCACTGGTCGATTCGCTGCAGTTTGTAGAGAAAGAGGAGATCCGACACGATGTCAAGAAGTATCCCATGACTTTTGTCACCTCAGTATATATCCAATACAGTTAAATTTGCATAGAAATAGTGCTATGTCTAACTTAGTTCAGTAGATATGCCACTGACTAAGGCAATTTGGGTTACATAATTTCTCACACATGGACTTTTATAACAGGGAAATATCAAGAAATGTCAAATTAATTTAAATTCAGATTTTATTTTATAACCGCTGGCGATTCATATTAGACTTGTGGTTCAACTGAGCAGTTTTGTAGCTTGCACCCCAATCCAGATGACAAGGGACCTATTAGTAGATAAAGAATTGACACAAAATCTTATGAAACATCTGATTTTAATTTACAAAATTATTTGTTTCAAATTTTTAAGAGGATTCTTTCCTCCACACTGAACTTAATTATTAAAGAAGTGTTGAAACAGAAGGGGGATTCAAAATATGTTCTTGATGAACACAAACTGATACTGAGTATTTTCTCTAGTCAGTAATATTTAAAAAAAAAAAATTTAAATATAAGGCGATTAACTAATCAGAATGTGTTTCAGATTCTCTATTATTTTCCCCCCAACAAAATTATACACTTCTAAAGTCAAAATTTTTTCATAAAATAATATAGCATTATGAATTTGTCTTTTTCTTGATTTTTGTTTATTATCTTCCTTTTTTGCATAGTCTATGGAAAGACAATTTTTCAGCAATAAGCAAATCAGTTTTCATCAATTTGAACAATAATAGAAAATTTTGAATCTAAATGTGGATAAATGCGAAGTATTAAACAACCTATCCCAAATAACTAATCGTTAGAGGGCATAGTTAGGACATTTTACTATCCAACAGTCTTTAAGATGGCATCTTTTTCATAAACTATTAATATTATTAATGTAAAGCATTTTTCAGGATATGATAAACACTACCAATTTTAATTTTTATAATAAAGAAATAATTTTCCGACCTCTCCATGTTGATTAATGTTATATTCCATGTTATATTTAAGTATTGTATGTAACATTTCCAACTATGTAATAAATTGCAAGGTTTGAATTTTAAAACTAATAATTCAACATTAAATTTATGTTCATAAGCTAACATAAAATCTTTTTGTTACAAAAAAAAAATCTGAAAGAGAAGTAATTATTATAATGACTTTATATCAAATAGATCATTTTTAAAAATTATAGACTTAAATTAAATAAAAAGAAGAAATATGAAATAACCTTGAACTTGGATAAAACCTTTAGTAGCCAAATTCAAACCCTTTGAACGGGCGTAAAATAACCTCAACATTCTGGGGATGGTTACAGTTCTCTTACATAATAAATAAAATGAGAAGATGAAAATACATGGGGTAAAATTCAATAAAAAGTTAATTGACTAAGTAACAAATTTTCAATCGCCATTTTTTATAGTTAATGGCCTTCTGAGCGGTGGCGTTTATTAATTTTGTCATATACTAACCATATAAATATATATTGTTTTAGATTTTAAGAAAAATTGCTATAAAATTTTAAACTTGACAAGTACTAAATTACACTATCATCATCAAAAATGTGTTAAAGAAGAAGAAAAAAAACATTGAGAAAAAGAAAATCTTAACTAAAAATCTAAACTATTTGATTAGCCATCTTAACGAAATAACGCAGAACTCACATTAACAGGAAACTAATGATCCAATTCCGAGATCTGTAAGTTATTATGTTAAAAAAAAATACACATTTTACCCAAAAAGAAAATTTTTTTTTAAAAATTACTCTATTATGTTACCTGTGAGTTCAATTTATTTGGCAAAAAGAATAAAACTCATATTAAATGCATACATTGCTTTTAAATATGATAATTTTTTAAATAATCTAATGATACAGATATTTATATTGGACTAGTCACTCTTAATTTGGATAATTGGAGTTCTAAAGTAACAGGTAGGTCTATAATAGGTCTAAAAAAATTTCCAAGAAGTATAATAATAATTGAACAAAGAGAGTTTCAGCACGATGAGAACAATCAGTCCTGTGAACAAGGTAAAAAAGCAAAATATATACAAAATATTGCACTTTTGAGAAATTATGGACACAAAGTTGTATAGATTTTAACCAAGGAGGTTTAGTGATTTAACCAGTCCTGATAAATATCAATTTCTATCACTGAAAATAACTATTCAATTTATAAAATACTAAACCAAATTTGTATTTAATCAAAACTAATAAAATTTTAAAATTGCTAAAAATTTTACGATATAACAACATAAAACAATACAACCGTCTTAATTATTTTTTATGCAAGCTCTGTTTCATAATTTATGTTCAATTTTAAAAAATGATTGCAAGTAACAAGTTTTAATGTTGTCCTTTCATAACTTATTTTGGATAATTCTAAATTTAGAAAATAAACTTTCAGGGGAAGATGAACTGACACAGTAGTTTATTAGATCTAATGTAATGAACTCACTTTAATGTTACACTTAACTTAATGTTAACTAATGTCAACTAACTAAAATGTTAATTGCCTTAAATTTTCATAATTTAATAATTTCATGGTCTGTTTTTTACACACGTATTGAATAGGCATTTTTTATTAACTATCTTCATAAATTTGTCTATTTGTTAGTAATTTTACTGCTCACTCCCAAGTTATTTTTAATTGCAGAGTAATTCATTATTAAGCCTGATTAAGGCCATTTTTAGCAGTCATTCTCGTTTTGAAAACTTTCAGAAGGTTAAAACCATTTTTATTCAGCCTCCTGATCAAAATCAGCTTTAACCAGTTAAAATTACTACCCTGTATTGATGTTGTGCTGAAGGCAACTGACCCTGTGGCAGAATTTGTTCGAGCTATCTGCGACCCAACTCTCTATCACTAATATCTTTCTGCAAGATACTTTTTTTAATAATAAACAGGTATGTTACTAATTTAAAATAACAAGAGTGCTGTGTTTACAAAAAAAAAATATATAGGTAATTTTTAAAAAATTTAACATGTAATTTTTATTCTAATATTATCGGTAACATTTTCGCATTTTGTTGGGAGGGGGAAAGCAGAAATTATTTCCTTCGCCTTTTGTAACTAATCATCACAATAAAAAAAATATATTAAAAATCATTAAATCCGTAGTAGTACTTGGCGAAAAAAAAGATCGACAACAGAATCACTCGAATCGGACACCTCAAATCCGTGTTTCGCCTCTTGATTAGGCTGCTGTATAAAAATGATATCGCATAAAAAATATCGGATTTAAAAACTATGGAGAAATCAATAGCAATAATTGATAAAATTCGACAGAATTATTGCCTTTAAATAAATAAAAAATACTCAAATACACGATTCGAATTTTCCATGTTGTTAATCGGGATATTTAAAATTCAAGTGAAAATCAGTATCAATAACTGACGAAAATACAATCAAAACAATACATCAATTTACGATACTATCGGCGTACATTGGGGGTGTCAAAAAGTGATTATCTAAATGCATGATTCAAATATAACAGGTAAATTTCTGTCAGAAAATAATTAGAGGTAATTTTTTTTTTACTTTTCAAAAGAAAAATCTTTCTGCAAGAACTCGGTAATGTCCTGCAACAATGTCGCCGTGATTCTGCCACGGGGGCAACTGAAAAATATTGTATATAATAATTTTAAAAAAATGGTTTTCCGCAATTAGATAATTATAAATTGGAAATAACAGAAATTTTAAAATTTGGTTAATTTTGTGTTTTGATAGGAGATTCAGCAGGTTAAATGGTTGCCTGCATTAACTAATTCACAGGGATTGGAAGAAAATAATAGTTATTAAAGATTAGTCGATTAAATGACAACAAAAAAAGAACACAATAGCAATAAAAAATTTACAGAAGTATAAATAGCTATATAATTTTTCTACATCATCAATTTAATCCTCATTGGAGTCTTCAATATTTCTTTTACGATAATTTCTGCCATGTTTAACAACTGATATCGGAAAACAAAAAGACGAATTTGAATTATCACTAGGTATTTCAGTTCCATTCAAATCCTTATTGGTAGAACCTAAAATTGAATTGTTCAGTTCACTAGATTCATCACAGTTAGTCTTATCTCTATTCACAACGGAACTTTCAACAACCCTCGAGTCAGAATCATTAATACTAGAGCTCAGATTTTCCCTGATTTCATTTTCATCATTTGGTATAGGGTATTCGTTAATGAAAGAATTTTCACAAGCATTAGTATTGCTACTAACTCCACTGCAACAAGGACTCTTATTAGTTTCAGAATTGGGCCATATAGAATTTAAATTAGAACTTTTACTAGCATCTGAAGAATCTTTCAAAAGATCACTCTTAAATTGCGGGTTTTGCGAATTTACTAAATCATTTGTGGTATCTGATATTTTTTTAAAACTCTTGCTACGCTTAAAAAATACTTTTGTGATCCCATTATTGGAAGAATCACTTTCTTCATTCTTCCTTTTGTTCCCATTTGAAATATAGTTCAACCCATTATTAGAAGAATCACTTTCTTCATTCTTTCTTTTATTCCCATTTGAAACATAGTTCAACCCATTATTAGAAGAATCACTTTCTTCATTCTTCTTTTTATTCCCATTTGAAACAGAGTTCATATCACATAATTTGCTAGCACTTTGAACATTATTTTTACAATCTTCATAGTCATCAGAGTCAGAACTGTTACCATCTAAGTTTGGAGTTTTACTCAACTGTGCTCGCTTTTTTCTCAAAAGTTTAATTTTGGCATTAAGACTTGCAGATTTTTTGTTTCCAATACCTAAATTCAGAGGTCGAAAACCTACTTCGTTATTCTCCTCAGATGGCCTCTTGTCCGATTTTCTACTTGTTCTCTTGAATTTTCTTAAAACAACATTTTCTCGTTTCATTGACTTTCGAGCAGATTTTAATTTCTGCACACGGCGTTTTTGAGCTATGAGCTGTGATATTCTATCTGAAGTCGGTGGATTTCTCTCATTACTTTCAGAATCTTCATTGGTTGTTTCATTATTGTTCAGATGTGTGGAGACAGTTTGACGGTTTATAAGCAAATAGCTTGCAGCCTCTTCTCTATTAGCAAATAAACGACTAGTTGCACCCTCTCTACCAGAAAAATAGCGACTTATAACACTATCAGTATCTGTAAGTATACGTCCGCCCATACCATCTCTGTCGGAAAACAATCGCCTGGTGACTCCCACTTCACTCGCTGGTTGACTAATGTTCAAGACCCTGTTAGTTGAAGCTCGATCCAAAGGTCTGTCTTCGTTAACTATTGAACTATTTGGAGCAGTATCTTCATTACTAATCACATGACTATCAGTATTTTGATTATTTGAAGAAGCATTGTTAGCAGCAGCTCTATCAGTGCTACTAAACGTGCTAGGTAATTCAACCAATCTATCGTTGAATATTTCAAGAAGAGCCCGTTTGCTCCGTTGAGTAATGTTCTCCAATTCATCTTCAGAAGAGGAGGATGAAATACTTGTTGTCGAATCTTCCGAAGATTGGACTTCAAAACAGAAACCGTCCCGAGTGGTTCTTTCCGAAGCATCGTTAGAATCGGAGGTCCAGCCTTCGATATCCCTTTGAACTAAAGAATCAAAAAATGCCATCATTCTGGGATCTTCTCGAGTGGAATGATGACTGTAGTCGTGAGTCATAAACTGACCACTCCGAAGAACTAAATTTATGTATTCTTCATGGCTGTACACTTTTCTCAATCCTTCTGCTTCACTTTCGTCAGAGTGGGACATAGGAAATGAGCTCCATAACTTAATGATTTTTTCCACACCAGATGAGGCAATAACTCCATATGTATTGTTATATCGCACTTGGTTAACAATTGATCTGTGCCCCCGCAAAACAAAATGGGTTTTTGCAATTAGATTGCCTTTTCTGGAAGTGACATCCGGAACTTCCCAAATATAAAGCTTAAAATCATCCGACCCAGATAAAACGTACTGATCCTTGTCTCCTGCAAAACAGCAGCTTTTCATAGTGCAAGAATTATAGTATTCAGGATGATCAAATTCAGCGATATGATGAGCAGAAGTTACGTCATAAAGTACAGGGGGTAGTCTTCGCCTTAAGGCTAACAAATGATTGCCAGTGGCATTAAAACGAACACTCATTGCACTGTGCGTTAATAAAGATGACCCATATTTAATGACATAAGTGTTAGGTTTACGAATGTCCCATAAGCATACACCTTCTTTTGCATTTGCTGTTGCTAGGAAATGAGGCTCTACAGGATTGTGCATAACAGCATGATATGCATTGGCATTACTGGCAAGAACTAATGGTTCATCTATACTTTGTCGAATATCCCAAATTAAAACGCGACCATCATCGCACGAAGTAGCAAACAAGTTGTCATCCATGGGATCAGCTGATAACCCATAAACAGCTTCTTGGTGAGGAAAGACGTCAAGACTTTCTCTAGTGTTGATGTCATGCAATATTACTTGCTCATCATTTCCAGCCGAAAGCAATTTCGTGTGAGATTTGTTAAATGCTAAACAGAAAATGTTACTATTGTGTTCCGATTTCATAGCAGTTGGTTGATAAGAGTTAGATGACGATGTAAGAGTTTTAATCATTTTCCATACAAGTACTCTTTTATCGTCGCCGCCCGAAATCATCCATTGACCATCATTCGAAAATTCTATGGCATTGACGCACCCATAATGTGCATACAGATCTTTTTTGAAAAGATTTCTACTGTATCTAAATCTCCTGTTTAATAGTTGTATCCCCCCTTCATTCATTTCATATTGTTGTTGATGAGTAAGATAACCTAAGCCAGAAATATAGGATGCCTTTAGATTTTTAAAAGACATTGTGGAATTTCAGATGAAAGTAAATGTTATTAATATTTCAAAGCCTGTCTAAAATTAAATTCTCTTTTGCGTAAATTAATGTAATTAAGATCATATTAGCGATCGTAACACATCAGCTGAAAACAGAGAACTCTATAATAAAACTAAAACAAAATACGCAATGGATTATTTAGTTTTGGACGCAGATGCGCCCTCTGTTCCTGATTATATAAGGCAATTCAACAGAAATGTACAATATTAAATGAAGCCAAACTTATATTTCAAGATAATTAAATAACATCCAGCACAAATAAACTCGATATAACATTTATTCGCAAGTGTTTATTTTCATTTTGGCTTTCCACACGAATCACATGATCAAAAGAATAAATAGAAAAAAAAACTACTATAACTTTCTGAGCTTCACGTGATCTAAAAGCTTGCAATGATTGGATGGGCGCTAACTTTGAATTAGAAAATATTTTTACTGACTGCCACCAACGCTACCACTGTTCGCTTTGCAAATAATTCTTTGTTTTCTTAAAACTTTTATTTATTAATTAAAATAATTGTCATCATTAAATAAGATAAACACTTTTTGTCAATATGAGGAAAGGGGAGAAGAACCAAGAAGTATCGAAAATACAAGTTTTTGCTCGTTGCAGGTTTGTTTACCTCATTATGTGCATTAGTATTTTCTTTTGTAAATTAAATAGTATTGTAAAAAGTTTCAAGCTTCTGGTGCAGATAAATGAAGTTTAGTTCTATCCTCTTCGTGTATCGTCAGAATTGAAATCAGTTGTAGTAATTTAAAGGAGTTTTCATTACTTATAACAGACGTTATGTTGCAGTTCTCTTGCTGAATTGAGCTTTTTTTTAAAATTTTTATTTTCATGAAAAATCTGTTAAAGCAGAATATAAATGCAAACTTTTCAATACTCTGATTAAGTTGCAACATTACGCTTTTATATTAAAATTTTTGTAATTTTTGCATAACATAGTAGTCGTAAAAACTACTTTTTTCTGTTGATTTTTACAACAGTTTTTTTTAAATGTAGTGGCTACAAAGTAATTTCGAAATATAGTCGCTATCTCTTAGGAGATGAAATTTGCAGGAGAACTTAATTTACACACGTTCTAAATGGTTTAGAATAAAAAATAGCAGGAATTATTAAAAAATTTAATGCTAATTTATGTTTCCATGGGCTCGTTTGTTGTTCTAAATCATTTGTTACAATTTTCTTTTAACCTTCAGCTTCTTGACAATGAAAATCTATTTGTTGTTATATCCGAACCGTGATTTGACAATCCAACTACAATTGCTAAGGAGCTAAATTTATTTCAAAGTTGCAATTTTAAAAAAAAAAAAAGCTTGTGTTTTGCTTGGCTGCTTCACAGAAGTTTCAAAGACTTGGCGATTATTTTACCACTGATCATGATAGGCAAATCCTTTCTTTAATTTCAGAATTTCTTCTAAATTTTATAGTTATGATTTTGTAATGTAATGTAATTTACATTGTTCATCTCTCAATCTAATTTACATCTTAAATAATATTTTTACTAACCGTAATAGGACCCAATTATCTACTTTCAGTCAGGCATACTAACTGCTTGGCCACCTGGCAGGCATTTTAGGATTATGAAAACTACTAAATGTTTTAAAAGGAGAAATAAATTAATCTTTAGAAAGATCATTTTTCAAAAAAAATTTTTATCAAGAAAAGTTATTTATGCAATAATGAAATATTGCCTTGCTATCCAATTGAATAATTGTGTTCTATGTTATGTACAGTGAAAGAGAGATTCTAGAAGTACTTCACCAGTTAAATGTTGCAGTATTCTAAAAGTGTCAGACCACAACTCTCTGGTTGGAAAAATAGTATTTAAAATATATTTTTATAAGTAATTTCAGTGAATTGTAATACAAAAAATATTATATATTTTGTCCTGTTATATGACATTAGTTTCAATTGTATTGTGAATTAGTATCTCAAATTTTTGTGAGATAACCTTAGTACATTATTTGCAATTTGTATTAATTTCTTTATCTGTCATACTTATTTAAAATATTTCTACAAAAATTATTATTAAAAAATATTGCTAAAATAATCATTAAATATTGAAGTTACGTTGAAACTAGGAAGTCGGCAGTCGAATGCTTGCTTATTTTTCAAAAGTTAAAAGAATTAAGCTCACATTCAAAAAGCAGCATGTGAAAGCTGCTCTCTCCCACCTAATAAAATAATTAATTAAAATTAATCTTGAGGTGTCTGCTTTATGGGAGAAACTGTATAACTTTTGTTAATTTCACTCCTTGTATTTTTCATAGTCTTTTATTTCCTATAGGCCACTAAATGGTATAGAGCGGAAACAAGATTCATTCTCTGTTGTAGATGTTATTCAAAAAGAAAAGAAGGTTGTTGTGAGGGACAGGAATAAAGAATTTACTTTTGACAAAGTCTTTCCTCCAGATGTTAAGCAGGTAACTTGAATGTAGTGTCTGAAGGTGTTATCTTGTATACAATGATTGATATAATGAGCCCTCATGCTTTGATATAATGAACCTGATTTCTAACTATGCTATCCTGTATACAACTGTGGTTTGCATTATTGTGAGTTTTCAATTAAATGTAAATTTTAAAATTAGATAAAATCGCAGTAATTCTTTAGTTTATTGTTAGCTAGATATTTATTATTTCTAGTGCATTCTTGTGACATGGTGACTAAAAGTATGCAAAACTAGTCGCTTGTTATCACATGCTTTGATACAATGAACCTGATTTCTAAAAATGCTATCTTGTATACAATTGTGGCTTGCATTATTCTAAATTTTCAATTAAATAAAATAACCAGAGATACTTCACTTTATTTTCAGTTAGTAATTTTGGATAAATATTTCGAGGTAATATAACAAGTATACAGGTATATTATATATTAAAAAAAAAAATAGATAAAAAATATTTTCTCTCCCCCTTTTTTTGAAAAAGAAACTAAGTTTTACCCTTTGATTTTACCATCTTCAGAAAAGTTTGAAAGGTTTGTTCTTCGTAAATATCTTTAAAAAAACAACAAGAAAACATACTTTTAAGGCAGTATAGAACAGCGGTAAAATATTTTTTTAAATATTGAAGTACAATATATGATCATTTTAAGAGCTAATGTTCTAAACATGTTTCATATTTTTAATAAACATTTGTCCAGATTCTTCTTTTTTAACCTTTTTTTTCCTGATGTTCCAGATCTTTTTCCGACTCCTTTATAGTACAGTGAAAGCTTAATATAACAAGTACAGCCTATTTCACAAGGTGTAATAGTCTTCCTTATTATAACTTTTTCGACTGGAGATTGTTGTTTAGTTTGTAAATTATAATTTAGTAGTTGGATTTTCTTCCTTTTCTATTACTTTAAAAAAATTAATTGTCCTGCTTTTCTTCTGACTTTTTTTCCGTGCTGATCTTTGGAGTCTGTTTTGGGCAATATTTGTAACCATTTATATTCTACTTTACCTGTAACAAAATTAAATGGAATTACCAAGTTTTGCTAAAGACAATCACAAATGTTTTATGTGTAACTTCCTTTTCACATGGCCTACATCAAAACAGTAATCCATTTCCGTCCAAGCTTGTGTTAAGGTATATTAATCAAGTTCATCAAAAGTGATTGTAATACGCTGTTTTAGCTTCACTAGATCAACAAGGGGGGATGGACAAATGCCTTATTCTTCACCTGCCTCCATCGGACAAAATCACAAAGTATTAGGTCTAGGCTTCTGGGTAGCCATTGAGTAAGTGCCGTGTTGTAATCCGCTGTTTGTCCAATCGCAACGAGAGAGATGGGAAGTAATCTCGCACTCATCCAGTATGGTGGTTCCCTTTGTGGAGGCTTGTAGTTCATTAGACAAAATTTTATGAAAATTCTTTGATTTTCACTTTTATTTGTAAGATTATTTGTACGTTTAAAATATACTTATATCTGATTTTTGTTATTTTTAGATTGATGTCTATAAATCTGTCGCTGCACCTTTAATTCAGGAAGTTTTAAAAGGTTTCAACTGTACAATTTTAGCGTAAGATTATATATTTAATTTATAATTTTTATTTTTTATTTTAGTTAGCATTCAATGTTTATTTCAAAGTTTTCATTCAAAGTTCAATGCATTCAAAGTTTCTCAGCAAGTATTCCTGTAATACCTGCTAATACAAATTTTTGTTCCAATCGTGGAATTACGAAGTTTTTAAAAAATAATCAGTTTTCTTGATATATTTTTTGTAGCCTCTTGATTTATAGTTCATATTTTTAATTTGAGATCATTTCTTTTTTAGTAGTATTTTTTCGATTTAAGACAAGCAACTATTTGTTTACAGACAAACTTTTATAAGTTTTATTATTAAATTTAAATTTGTGATATTGTATTAATGCGGATTGCTTATTAATTTTTTTCAATTAGATATATTTTTTAAACAATTAATGTAGTCTATTGATTATTATATTCACCATCTATCCTAAAAAAATTTTTTAAAAAAACTACCGGAAGTCTTGGGCTCTTTCATGAAGTCATTGCATGACATGACTATTTTTTTTTTAAACTTCCCGAGTAAGTTTTTTTTTTGTTGTTAGATTTAATTTGTAATACAGTTTAAACAATAGAATCAAAACAATATTAAATGTTTGTAAACAGTTATTCCCTTTATTTTAATTCTTGATGAGAGAGCAGTATAATTTGCTGGTTGTGTTAAAAGCTATAGAAAAATATATTGTTTGGGCACTGTGATCTACATTACGTTAACTGCTGGTATATTGTTTTAGAATTTCGTTTTGTTAATTGTCATAATTATATGAATGAAATTTTGTTGAGTAAATATTGAGGGATTAGTTACGTGATTCAATTTTTATCATTTTTTTACTAGAAAAGAGAAATATGTGTATAGTTTCGTTTTTCAAACTGACTTATATTGATAAACAAAAGAATCTTTGTTTTATTATGTATTTATAATAGTAACTCATTAAATTAATATTTTAATCGAACTCACAAAAAGAGAAATTTTTTATTTAAGTTAAATTCCTTACTACGTGTGGAACGAAATAATTTTTTTCTCTTCTCGTTACTATGTAAATTTTAAATGTATTTTAAGGTGACAAATTTGTTGCTTATGCCTATGATTTCAGTGACATTTGTATTACATTTGGCAACAATTGCTACAATACTGGTGTGAACCCTAATAACAAAATAAGTTTAATTCATAAAATTCTTATGTATGTTTTTTTTTTTTTAATAGTTATGGTCAAACAGGGACAGGTAAAACCTATACAATGGAGGGTGAAAGAAGAAATAATGCTAAATATTCTTGGGAGGATGTAAGTGTTTAGAAATATATTATTCATTCTTATATCTTCTTGATATAGTTTTTAAGATGTGTATGTATTTAAATATTTTATTGTTTTGTTTCTTTTATTATTTTCTACTTGTATGGACTAATACTTCTGGATGATGCTTTCTACTTGTATTCATTACACTCACTCTAAATATAGGCCACTTCACATTTGCTGGTTTGCTTTGGTTACGAAAGCAGGAAGCATGGACAATATTTCTTATAACTTCGTTAAGATATAATATTTCACTGTTCTTATAATGTTCCTATTTTCACATGCAATTAAATGAATGGGGAATTATTTTCAATCTTTACAAGCATAAACATTTGGTGATAGGAACATAAGTTTTGTTTGCTGCAAAATGCCTCGCCAAACAGAATGTTACGATGATTGGTTAAATCGAAATTATGCCCACCTTTAATTTTCTATATGTTCTGTTCTCGCAGGAAAAGATTAGTTTTATGCTGATTTTTTTTAAGTTTATTGCTGAATTTCAATAAACATTGGGGAAAAAATCACAACACTAAAAGTAGCTCATTTGACAATACACAAGCACTTAGAGTAGCAGGAAATAAAAAGTTAAGAATGGCTAAAGATAAATAACTGGGTAATTGCTTTTTAAAACTCATTGCTTATTTTGTTTATTTTTACCCTGAGATATATTTTGAATAGAAACAACATAAATTTTTTCAAATTAAAACTTACTTTTTTTTAAAAAAAAATCAGTAATTGCTCTTTTTTTTTTTTTGCTCAATGCCCTATTTTTTTGTTGCTTTCAATTATTGCAATTTTTAAATAGGCATCCTCATGTAAACTCGTCATCTCATGATTTGTTTGGATTTGATCCAATGTCTGATATTTAAATCAATATTTCCGAAACGTCTGTACATGGTTTGCCTTTAAACTGTGATACCTGTGGCTGCAGATATCTGATGAGGTGGTAGAACACTCTCTTTGCTTCTTTTGGCAGACTACCAAGTACTGGTTTTCATTCGACTTAGTAACTGGGGGGGAGGGATTGTACAGTAACATGATTTACTGACATTTTCATCATCTTGGGATTGCTGTCAAAGCCTAGAAATGACACTCCAATGCAATTCCAAGTTCCTTAGATATTTCCATCTGAATATGACCACATTCCAGGCATCCAATGATTCTGCCCCCCCCCCCTCCCGGAAAAAAATCCATCTTCTGTGTTGTAACTATTTGGTTATGGCACTGAGCAACTTACAGAATGCTTATGAGCAAATACCACCATCCCTCTCAACATTGTGACACACTATCGGCATCATCTGGTGATTTCATGTAATTTGCAGGTTATTCATGAAGATGTGTGTGGTAATTCTACAGTTTAAATATTTATTTTTGTGTTTAATTTCCTTGTGATTCTAAATTTTCCTTATTTTGTGGACATGAGTATAGAAATATTTGAAACAAACTACAATAAGATAAGTGTATGAAAATAAAGTAAAATGCAGGTAACTTAAATAATTTTATGAAGAGCATTACATTTTATATATTGGATTTTGCCTTCAAATATATCAACCATTAGTCATTTGGAAAGAAAAATTGTAAATGATATAAAATCTACAAAGCCTTTAGTCCCTACTTGTGACTGTTTCAGAGAGACTTATGCTTGCTACAAAATGTTATGTATGACAAACCATTGTTTCCTATTTTACCCTTGTGATTAATAGAAATACAGTAGAGTCCTAATTATCTGCGTTGATGTGGACCACGACAAACTCAGATAAACGAAAACTTTGTTACAACGAAGAGTATGCAAAGGGAAAGAAAAATAGAAGGTATAAATGTAATATATTTAACAAATACAAAAATTTTTATGAGTACACCACATGCAATTCATATAATAATGAAAAAGCTTACTTAAAAACACTTAAAGAGCGTATTTTACGAGAATTAGAGTTTTTACTGAACAAAGTCCTTAATCTTTTTTTTTTTTTTACGTTGGTGCTTTTCTGCAGCAGCATTTTGCCATTTTTTTAGGGAAAACAGGAAGTCTAGTGTTGCCTATTCTTGTTGTTCTATGTATTCAATAGCTCTTTCATTAGCTTTTAGTCAATCCAGAGATGATTGTGCTCCGGAAAATTCCGGATTTTTCGCTAACCGCGATCCTAAAATTTCCGGAAATCTAAGGTCCGGAAGTTTCAAGAAATCATTGATCATATTTATGTATTATCATGAATGGTTTTACTCTAGAAATTTTCGGGATTTTTGAATTGGGCTCTCAATCACCCCTGTCCATCTGTATGAGAGATTTTTATAGGTTGATTTTCATTTTTACTGCCTTCATCTTTGATAGATTCATTTTTGTTATTGACGGTAATAACGATCATTTCATCGGTAATCTTCTGTTTTCCGTCAGCTTTTTTTTCTTGGTGTTAGGAAGATAAATTTTAGAATTTTTTTCGGCGGTAGTTTTGAAAATAAAAAATAAACTGGAGCAAAAAAAAATCCTTTAAATATTTGATTTCTCGGATAATCAGGACTCTACTGTATTTCAAATAAGGTTGCTTATAACTAATGACTATGATAATTTTCTTTTTGTTTCTTTCTGAAGGACCCGGAGGCTGGATTAATACCACGATCTTTACATCAACTGTTTGAAGAACTAAATCAGGAGGATAATGTGGAATTTGCTGTAAGAGTATCTTTTTTGGAATTATACAACGAAGAACTTATTGATTTATTAAGTTCTAAAGATCTTATCAAACTTCGCATCTATGAAAATACATCCAAAAAGGTATTCTTTTATAGATCTTAAATACTTAAATATCCTTTGCTAGTTCTTTTCTAGTAAGAACGACAGTTACATGAATTATTGTTAAATTGATTCAGCTCTTTTTAATATAAAAATTATTATTATTTTTTTAAAAATGATTTTGCATTCAAAATAACTTCTTATAAAGAAAGTAAGTTTTTTATACGGAGAAATCTATTTTTCGGACTTGAAGTACTGAGAATTCTCAATATGGGACTTATCAATGTAATTAAGTTTGAAATGGCCTGCTAATTACCAGAAAATGTACTTTGTTGCATTGTAACCTTTTTTAATTTCACATGGGCAGTAACCGCATATTGATTACCTCCCCCCGAATGGCTTTGGGTGCTGCAGAATGTTTTTCATTTTTAAATCAAAAAAGAGGAAAAGTGTTAACTACTTTTTTTAAAAACATATTTTAATTTGTTTGTAATAAAAATCAAAAAGCTGGATTGAAAAGACATCACAATAAACAAAGAATATTTTTCTGCTACTTGATTGCTGGTTTAGCTATATAAGGATTTATTTCATTTTTTAGTTTCATTGCAGAAAGTTCAACTTACATATAAACTACAAAGATTTTATGCATAATATTTAAGAGACCTTATATTTGTAAATTTTACACATGTATGTTAAATCGGACTGGATATTTCAATAATCTTTAACCGACCACGTTAATATCCAAAATAAATTTGGATTTAAAGAAGATAGTGCTGAAGATACATTCCATAAGTTCTGCTACTGAGATAATAACACAGCAGCTACTACTGAAATTCTTTTCAATATTTATGTTAGTACATTAAATGCTTGTATATGCCAAAGAGTTTTTTTAAAGTTATTTCCCAACTCTTATCGATCAGGGAAACTGGTAAAAAATTTAGGAATAATGGTGGAAGGTATCTTACCGATCACATTTGCCAGAGGTTTACATTTATTGCAATTGTTACAAAATTTTCTAAATAGGAAGAAGAAAAATTAAAAAATTTGGATTGGAAATTTGGAATGGGAATTTGGATTAAAAAATTTATTTACTAAATGCTATCTCTAGATCAATTAGTTTTTATCAATTCGGCATTGAAAATTTACTTGTTTGATGGCAAAAGATTGTTGATAACAAGAGTCATCTCATCATTGAGTAAAAAAAATTTCTGTTAGAGGTATTTCTAAAACTTCCAATTATTCTTATCCATTGGGAAAATAGGTGTTCTATTTATACCATGTTGAGTTTTTATTTTAAATTTTTTTTATTTTTTACATAATATTATTTAAGAGTATTTTTATTATTGACTTATTCGTAATTACGGTTTTGGCTGATGATTATAATGTAAATATAGAAACTTTAAGGGAAAAGGAATGTTGTGGCTCATCAATAAACATATATTGGCTGGAATTGAATCCACAACATCCCATTTTGCAAGAAGAGGGGAAACAACAATTGATGCAGTTTCTGCAACTCTGGGCTTAAAGTCTTGATGTGTTTATGAAAGTCAATCCAGAAAGAAAAAAAACATTTGGCCAATGGGTTACTTGTTATCGCAATTTTTTCTCATTTATAATTAATCATCATTAATTTTTTATTTTATTTTTAGGGATCAGTTCATATTGATGGACTTGAAGAAGTTGTGGTGAACAGTAAAGATGAAGTTTATGCAATATTGGAAAAGGGTACTGCTCGCAGACAAACAGCTGCAACTCTATTGAATGCTTCTTCAAGTCGTAGTCACACTGTATTTTCTGTTACTGTACATATTAAAGAGAACACTGTCGATGGAGAAGAGCTTGTTAAAACGGGAAAATTAAACTTGGTTAGTATTTTTTTCCATGTATTTTCAAGGTATATAACTCTCCTCATATCCCTAATTTTCCTGAGAAAAAATATTCTGTTCTGATTTTTAACATTTTGTCCTAATATTCTTCTCTCCCCCCCCCTCTCTTTTTTGGTCTTGTCATACCTATTTGCCATTTTTAGAAAATGTGATCAAATCTTGTAAAGATATGTTGTTTCAAAAATTTGAATTCAAAATTCTTTTAATCCAATGAACGATTCATTTAAGAGACAATCCACAAATTACTCTAGAGTAAATGAAAATTCTTACGTGTTCTACTTTATACTGCATAAAAAAATTTCGAAAAAAAAATTTATAATGAAATTTTTTAAGGGTCAATTTGAGGTCATATACGTATTTGCTATTTTTAGAAAATAAGATCAGATCTTGTAAAGACAAGTTGTTTCAAAAATTTGCATTTAAGAGTTTTTTAATCCAATGAATGCATGCTCAAATTTCAAAAATGGAAAACTAAGGATTATTAAGATAATTTTAAAAAAAGAAAGTTTAGTCGCATTCAAAACTAGTGAAACACTTCAGTTACAAATGTTATTTCATTCTTATTTTCAAAAGAATATTAAATCTTCAAATAGCCTTTTTGTCAAGGTAAAAAAGAAGCTGGAGTTTATCCCCTTTTTTTCACCCCCCAGTTATTTTTCTATAGTTCATTCCAAACGAAATGTTAATTTTAATTTGGGGGTTAAATATACTTTAACCCCCAAATTCAGGGATGAGATTTTTCCGTTTTTTAGCGGATTTCCGCTTTTTTCACTTTTATCTCTTAAAATTCAGCTTTTTTATCAAAAATTCAGATTTTCTAAAAATTTCATTTTTTTTTATAAGTATTCCGCTTTTTCAGAAAATTCACCGATTTTCAAAGAGAAACAGAAAATTCAAACTACATAGCTACCAATCCTTTCTCATTTTTACTTATTTTACCTATTTTCTCCCCCTTTACACTCAGCAGATGAGATTTTCTGAATTTTTTACCAGCTCTCCAGATAGATCCGATTCTCGTAGTTCAAACAAGCCTTTAAGAGGTACCAAGCCTGGAATCTGCTAATATCTCGATTCTTATTCACACAATTGTAATATCAAATATAGTTTTTCATATTTGCGTGTTGCGATTCTTATTTACGAGATTTAAAAATCCGATATTGTGATTCGTATTTACGTCTTTTTAAAAACCTATGTAGCGATTCATATTCACGCAAGTTTAAAATTCGATGTGTTGATTTGCTCATGCGGTTTATAATATCAAACATTGATTTTCGTATTTATACGTTATTTTAAAATAAGGCATTGGGATTCGCATTCACGCACTCTAAAAATTCATAATTCTTATTTATGCAATCTAAAAATTACGCATCATGATTCGTATTTACGCGATCTAAAAATTATGAATCGTGATTTGTATTTACGCGTTTTAAAAATTCTATATCCCAGTTTGTATTTTCTCATTTTCAAAATCGTATATCTAGTTTCATATTCATGTGATTTCAAAATCCATAATTGTTATTCATATTCACGCAATTTTAAGATCAACTATCGCGATTCTTGTAAGAAGTAAATTTTTTTTAAATTAGTTACTATAAAGGTGACTGTTTTTCTAACGACGATTATTAGTATATGTAAGTGTTACAACATCAGAGAAACTGGAAGGGAATATATTCAAAACTTACATTCTGTGCTTGCAAAGAAGAAAAAATAGGATTTGTCACAAGATGTTTGAAGATGGACTAACGACTAAATATAGCAAACATAAAAGATATAGCAAACAAAAGCAATCACTTAAAAAGGGATTTAATTAAAAAAAAATTTGGGGGGAAAAAGAGTTAATTAACTCATCATCAAAATTTTATTTATAATTGCTGTTATTTATGCTATAAAATGCAAAATTCTTATCAAATAAAAAACAATTATCTAAACAGTTGCTGATTGTCATGTAATTTTTCAAACTAAAATAGCAATTTTTGTATGTTAAGGAGTTACTATATATTTCTACTTCACTGTTATTGATATGTTTCAGAGGGCTCTAGTTAGATTAGACTATAATATGAACATAATGATTCGGTCCATTGTTAAAGTTTTTTTTTCCAATATAATTTAAAAAGTAATATTACTGATATATTTGCTATAAATCACATAACAGTATTTATTAAAAGAAATGAAATATTGATATATATTCTCAGTAGTTTTAATTTGCTAAACCAGGTAGTTTTTCAAGTAGTAATTGTCTCTTATGTGAACTGAGGAAAAATATAATTTCCAGCTTTATTTTTTCAATTGGTAATTTTTTTTCTTCACTAAATGTTAAGTATCAATGTAATCGTTTTTATAATAATAGATTAGTACACAATTGTATGTCAACACATTATTTATTACCTTAAACTGTCTGGAATTTATTATTAAAGGGTTGCTCTTGCGTAAAATTTACTATCGTGGAAATTCAGCTTTTTTGCGTTTTGGCAAATTAAAAGTAACCGAGTCATTAAAAAGTATTTAACAGACATCGTTTGTCACTATTAATTAATATTTTGACTAAAGAATTTAAAATATTCACTTTAGTTCCATTAATGTGCAAATATGATTGAACAGTATAATAACTAAAGATTTTAAATAAGCTTATTTATTACTTTACTACTCTACTTAACATGCAAATGAGCATTTAATATCTGAATGCTATTTCAGGAGTATGTGTAAAAAAGAAGTTTCTGCCTGGATAATCAGGGCAGAGAAATTTCAGCATTATTTATGTTAATGTCATTATTTGGAAGTACAATTTTTAGCATTAATATGAATGGTTATGTAGTTTTTCAAAATGGTTCAAATGTTAATAGAATGATGATGGTTTTGGTTTTAAATGGGTCTTAAACGATTCACCACTGCTCTTAATAAGTCATCATTCCAATTGAGGGTTTAAAAAGTAATGGCAGTTTGAAACTGCTTTATTTTATAATTTGATACGTCTAAACTGAAAATGACTTAAAAAATTTATATATTTTTTAATATGATAGTTTATTTAAATTGTAATTCACATGAATAATTAAATGCCGAACAGAATAGGATGGGGCATCTTCAAAATTTTAAATCCATAACATCAAACAAAATATAACAATATATTGCAGAGATTAATTTAAGTACTAGACTTTATCCTAAAAGAACAAATTTTAGGTGTTAAAATAAATGTTTGAATTATCTTTCTATTTTGCAAATACCAATGCATGTGCATCTTACCAGATTTCGGAAGACAAATTTAAGGTGTTGAAATAAAAAACCTTTTTCTTTGTTAAATTTGATATATTGCTTGTAAAATTAACAAAATTAATAATACCTATACTATGTTCACTTCTTAATATGTAAAGGTAAAATTACCTTACCTGTATTTTCTGTGGTAATTCTTCAAGTTTGGCCAAGGGAAGATGGACTGCTTTTGTTTCCCTTCAAAAGATTGCTATTCTTAAATCAAAAGATGTTATTATTAAAAATTAGCAAGGTCTGTCATTGAAGGAATTAACTACTGTCCATATCTTGAAAACATTTAATATTCTAACAAAAACATAACAAACAAGATTAGACGATGCATCAATGTTTTGCAAAGGAACAGCGCATACATTTCAACCTCTTAATTCGGAGGCGATCATTCAACTTCTGCTTACTTACAATAAATGCGGCTATGTCGCAGTTAAGGTTAAATTTTAAAGTCAAATAGTTTCTCGACATGCTTCTCCTACACCTTTGTAACTATTTTTCTTGTATTTTTGAAAGGCGAACACAGAAACGTCTCAGTTTTTCACTGTCTATTATGCCTTTTCTTTTCCATTAGGTGGATCTTGCAGGAAGTGAATGTGTTGGTCGGTCTGGCTGTATAAACCAGAGGTTTCGGGAAGCAAGTAAGTTATTATAGTCATTATTGTGTTTGTAGCTATTTGTGTATTGTGTTTGTAGCATTTGTTTTTAAAAAAAATATGTTTTGTACTTAAGCTATGTCTTTAATTTCTAGAACTAGTTTTCAGAAGTAGTTGTAGATATCATTAATTGCATTACAAACTAATCACTGAATAAATGCAATCATGTTTTTTATTCAAGCTAAAAAGCTATGTGATTTGTTGGTTTTAAACAAAGTAAGATTAAATTAATAGAAACCAAAAAGAAGCAATTTACAATTTTACTGAGCAGTTGGTCTGAAATTATTGTTGGAAGTTTAACATGAGTTTTTGGATTGGTAGGTTTTATAATGTAGATAGGCTTTAAATATATTTGTCCCCTCTCTCCCCCTCTAGTTTTTTCCCTGTTAGATCCTAGAGATGTTTCCCAGATTATTGCCAGTGGCACATTTTGCAGCTCTAGTATAATGTAAATAAAAATTACTAACTAAATATTTTTCTTCTTAATTTTTTGAATAAATAAAAATTAAATGCTTATATTTAAAATATTACAAAATGTTTGTTGACATAATAAAATTTATGCTAATAGCCCATTGTGCAGCTCTAGCGCAACTCAAAATACTTACTTACCAATCTACAGAGAGACATAAATAAGTTTGTCACGTTTTATTTCTAGGGCTCTTGATAATTCCATTCTTCTCTTAATTATAAAAGCAGTACTTAAATCATTCAGATTGAACTGTTTTAGACATATTGCCATATTTTAATGTTTACCAATACATTTTATATTATGTGAAATAGACCTCGAATAATTTTTAAATAAGTTAATAAATTTGAAAAATACTTGTGTTGGATGAAATGGATATAATCAAAATATTTATTTGTTAATAGAAAAACAGAAAATTATTTTGCATGGAGCTCACATAAATTTATAATTTTTGGTTGGATGAACTGCTTAAATTAAACACTATTAATTTCAATTGTTTTTTATTGATTTCTTATATTTCTTTAGGTAACATAAATATGAGCCTCTTGACGTTAGGAAGAGTAATTACAGCTTTAATAGAAAATCAGCCTCATGTTCCATACAGGTATGTATAGCTCATTTGTTGTAGCCAAATTTCAAATTTTTGACTATGCATGTTTTAAAAGGCAAGAATGTACTGATTTAACAATATATGACCTAACTGCAATATAACAACAAAGTACTTTAATTAAATTACTTTGAAGATGAAACTGAAGAAGAAAAAAATAATGACATATTCATTCATGCCGATTCTTTAATTAAGCGTACACTTTTTTAAAACCAATTTATTTTCAAAAAATATATAGTTTTGTGTAGGGGTGGACAACCTTTTTTGAGTGGAGGCCACTACTGGCCAATTATGGTTACACTTTTTTAAATCAAAAAATATATACTTTGTTTAGGGTGGGCAAACTTTTTGAGTGAAGGATCGCACACATATTCAATCCTGTTAGTGGAAAATATGTTAATTTTTATGTAAACATTGCAGTGAGTCAAAAAGAGATTACTCAAATAATACAGTGAAACATCTAGGAAAAACCACCTCTCTTTACGACCACTGTTAGGAGGCACTGATTTTATCCATAGACTTTGTGGTGTGGAAACTTTTAGGAGAGTCCAATAAAACCTCTTCCAGCGACTGGGCAAACACCTGCACCAAAATGCGGAATAGGTCAATTAAGAAAACACAAAGTATCCGAACAAAAAATTTAAAAAAACAAATAAGTAGATTAAAATAAAATGTGTAATATTTGTGTGAAGCTGCAATTAAAGAGCTCTTTTTGGCCATACAACCTCATGTAGCAGTCATAATGCACTAAATTCAATGCTATTAATGATTTACTTTTAGAGTTGGAAGTTAAATTAGAAAACTAAGGTTATTTTAGAAAAAGCAAGCAAACCTCGTGGCATTTCCACATCAAGGAAATGAACCTGACTGAAATTAATATAGTTTGTGAAAAATCATTTACCTTCGATAACAATTTTGAAGTCAATGAAGGTAACCTCTAAGAACAACTAACCTCCATCAATGACCATTCTACTGAGGAATGGAGAATCGTTACTCCCAAGAGGTTTCATTGTATCATTTTAAAAATATTGAGTTTTTTATTTATCAAAAAAAAAAATTGTGATCAGGCTCTCCTGTGGTTGTGCACCCCTAGTTTGGTGAAAAAAATCTCATTTGCTTATATTTCTTTGGTTTAGGGATGACTATCAAATCAGGGATATTAAAAAATGTTTGAACCACTTGTGGAATTAAATCATGAAGAAATATTAAGAGTTTAATACAGATATTTTTAAATTCTGTACATAAGTTTTTTTTTTCTTTGCCGTATTTACTTTTTTATTTCTGTATTGAAATTGTTCTGTTTATAATTTTGCTTCTTTTCAGGGAAAGCAAGTTGACAAGACTGTTGCAAGACTCATTGGGAGGCCATACAAAGACATCATTCATTGCAACTATATCCCCCGCTCAGTGTAATTTGGAGGAGACACTCTCAACATTGGATTATGCTACTAAAGCTAAGAACATAACAAACAAGCCTGTTCTCAATGAAAAAAGGACTATACGAGCACACATACGTGTAAGACGGTGGTTATTTTTATTATTATTTTTGAAATCTATCCACAATTTTGCTATTTTAAACTAAATTGAGTTCTCCATGGCAAAATCGAGGCAACATTCTTTTGAAAAGCAAAAAATTTTGGTTTTCTTTTCTGCAAAAGTTTACACATAAAATTCGAATCTTTTTCTGATGACGATAGTATCATAAATCTATGTATTGTTTTGATTATATTTCCATCAGTTGTTATTGATTTTCACGTGGTTTTTAAATATATATTTCTGACAATATGGGAAATTGTACTCGTGCATTTGAGTATTTACTTTTTAAGTCAATGATTCTACTGATTTTTTGGCAGTTTTTGCAATTGATTTTTTGACAGCTATTGCTATTGATTTCCCCAAAGTTTTTAAAATCAGATACTATTATGCAGCATTATTTATTGCAACAACCTAATCTCATTTAAAGCATTTAAGTTACCCCTTTTTGAAGAGTCCTATTAATTCGGGTGATTTCGTCGTCAATCTTTTTAATAAATACTATTTCATAATTTTTTAATGTGATGATTATTTACAAAATACGAAAAAGGAATTAATTAGTGCATTTGTCTCCCAATTAAATGCAAAAATATCACCCATAATATTAGTATATATAAAAAGAACTATTGCATGCTCAGTTAAAAAAAAATATTTGCTGTTTTTTCTTGTAAAATCAGTGCTTTTGCTATTTTAAAATAGCAATATATATGTTCGCTATTTTCAAAAGTATGGCGCTGAAAGATATTTCTGCTAGAGAATTTTTTTGTGGAATTCATGTGGCAGAATTTTTTTGCAGGAAAAATTCCACCACAGGGATCGAGCTGACATTTTAAAATTGTAGCAGCAACTAAAATATAAATTCAAAAAAAAAAAAAAAAAACCCAATTACTTTTATTAATTTTTACATATTTCCTGGTTTGGAGAACTATCTCCTTATTGTTATCGAAATTCCAAGAACCCAATAGTTTTTTTTCCATTGTTAGACTTTAGACTCACAACTCCCAGATCTTAGAATCAGAACTAAAAGAAGCATTCTTGGCACCCTTTTTATTGGTGTGTCAGGAATGCCAAAAGCGATATTTTGCATTTGTTTTCTTAGAAATCATTCTTCAAGTGTCGAATAACAATGATAGGTTATTTTTCACATTCTGTTCGTTTTAATGACTAATTCATTTTCGTTGCTCTTATGGGAAGGTGGGGTTTTGGGGTCCCAATTTTTTTTTCCACTTTAGCTGACATTAATGAATCAAGAAAAAAAATAGTCTTGAACTTGTTTATATTTTATTTAATCATCACTGAATTTAATTTAAAATATTCACACTAACTTTAATAAAGAATTCTAATTGGCAATCAACCTTTACAAATTTACTTAAATGAATTCTTCTGTGTATACCCATAATGCTATGAAAATACTATCTCGTCTTTAATACAAAACAGATAATCGGTTTTGATATTGATAAAATGTTGTATTTTCTATTAGGAATTAACGGAGGAAATTGAACGCTTACGAAAAGAACTTCTTGCTACTCGAAATGGAGAAGGATATTATGTTGATGCTCTGAATTATGAGTAAGACTTTTTTTTTTTGTTTACTGAGATGTTTTAAATATACAAGGCATGTGATTTTTCCCANACGATGTTTTTTTTAGCATAAATTGGGTTAAATAAAGAACCTGCAGCCTACACACAAAATTAAAAATGTTGAATTACAAATTTGAGTCATCACTTTTTACTGCTCTAAATTTGGACAGATTCAATTGTAAATATATTTTGTTTCTCAGTCGCTTTTTCAACGGTCATTGCAACGAAATTCTGTAGGATTTTAGAAAACCCAATATTCAATACAATATTATGATGCATGAATTTCGAATTTGAATAGCCACTTTTCACAATATATGTATTTGCTAAATCAATTCTTAGTTAAACTGAAAATTTTTTAGTAAAAATAAATATGTTTTTTTTTTTAATAAAAAATGATTTCTAGTACAGAATGATTTCTAGTTCAGTAGTTCTAGTTCAGATTTTTTGAGTGATTTCTAGTACAGTAGGGAACCGACTATCCGTAACGATCGGGACCATCGCTATTCCGGATAACTGACTTTTCTGGTTTTCTAAATCGCTACAAAAAGCAGTTTTTTATTGTCAAACTCAACTAAAAAAAAAATATTTGGAAATAATCTTAAAAAGAAGAAAAAACAATGAAGTAATACACTAATGATTATTTCCAAAATGATGGTAAGGTAAACATCTTTCAAAAAAGAAAGAAAAATCCTGAAATCTTATGAGAAAAAAAAAATTTAAAAAATGGCGGGAAAATTTATCGAATTTCGTTCCGGTTTTTTGGTTTTCCGGATTTTGTTGGTTTTGATTGATTGGTTTTCTGTACTGTAATTAAAAGTATTTAATTTTCTGCAAATGTATTAACTGTTTGATATTAAAATTTTTATATATGTTTGTATAAAAAATATTATATATGCCACAGACATGACTAAATGGATCATTGTATATGACAATTATGTCATTTAATAAAATTTTTGTTTTTATTAGGCAACTATTTTCATAGTTTATGGCAACTATTTTCATGCTTTAGGCTACTAAAAGCAACTATATTGTTCCTTTTTTTTTCTGGGGCAACCCTGCAAATCAATAATTTATATCCTAACAATTCTCAGTGTTCCTAAAATTTAAATTCTGTTACTTATGCAGAATCTTGTTTAACGAGATATTTATTCTGCTTTTACTAGCTTCTTTTCTTCCTAAGTTCTTATTCACGCTCAATTAAATCTCTCTCTTTTTTTCTTTCTTTTTTTTTTACACGAATTTGTTAGAGAAAAATGCAACTTTGGATAAACACCAAGAAAAAAAATAATTCCATCATAACTTCTGCTGGAATCAATGCACTACTGAGACAAACACAAGAATATAAAATTGGTTGGTAATCGTAAAGGTAATTCTGAAATGGTAAACATTTAAAAGATTGTTCGCTAGAAAAAGTGTCCCCCCCCCTTTAAACCTCTATTTTAATGAGTAGCAAATTCCGATTTGTAACAGAAGAATTATTTAATCAATGTGATAAATATTCCCCCTCTTTTAAATTTGACTACAGTTCGATCAAATTTTCCTTTTATCAGATATTACGACGTGGAAATTTCAAACTGCACGTTTCAGTGATCACTTTGCAACATGCTCAAAACAATCGTTAATCCCAGTTTACGTCTTTTTTTCCAGTTAAATCAATTGATTTTCTCATGGTTTTTAAAATTTCGATATTATTACAACTTGCAAAACTTGAAGCACGTGTTTTAGCCTAACCTTTCATGCTACCGAGTTTTATCCTACAGGTGCAGTCGTGGTTTTATTACGACAATTATTAACACCGAAATTATATTAAAAGTAAGTTTGCTGTATTAATAATTTGTATGTATCTTTCAAAGAAAAGTTATAAGTGTACATTGGAAATGTTTTTTTTTATTTTATTTTTTTTTTTTTAAGTTGAAATCAAATCTGCAAGATTGGTATTTCTTTTTGCATTTTTATTAAAAATGTAGCTTTATTATTTAGAATTTTAAACAAACCCATAAATTAAGTTTATCAAAATTAAAAAGTATCCATATCCTAAATCAATCCATAAAAAGAGTAATAAAGAAAAATGTTAAAAGATAATTTTTGCTACTTCCTTATTACTTTTCCATTTCTTAGAGTAAGAGTTATTTAAATTAAATATTTTTTTTTTTCATTTTTTTAAGCATCAATTTAAAAATTTTCATATTTTAATGATTTTTACAGAAGTCTCAGCAAGCAAACTTATATTAGCAACTTAGTGTGAAATAAATATCACTTTTAAAATGATATTTTAAAAATCTTTATATCCTATGGATTTTTCAGAAATTTATTGTAGATATTGAATACGGATTTTTTAAGTTTGTTTTTTAGTTAATAATGATACATTTCTATGCCATTTGTAATAAATCCTACATTTCCAATTTTTAACTCTGCAACATAGTTTTAATACATTGTTATGATTTATTTTTAATAACATTTCAATTTTAATTGTATTTTTAAAGTATTAAAAGATTAGATTTTAATTGAAAAAAATCACTAACTTTGTTTATTGGTTGGAATAATTTATTATATATATTTTTAAATATAATTGGTTGAAGATAATTTAAATTATAAAATAGTTAACTTTTCTCTCATTTAGACAAATGGAAAAGCAAATAGCTGAAACACAGAATAAAATAAAAGTAAAGGAAGAGGAATTAGAAGCTTTGAAACAACAAAATGTTGAAGTAAGTTTTCGTCGATTTTTAAAAAAAAATTTTTTTTCTTTCTATTTACAATGCAGTGATTTATCAACTTTTTCTTTTCTCACTAGGCTTAGTTTATAACGACAGAGAGAACAGGGAAAACCTGGAATTGTTAGGGAAATTTATTTAACCTGGAATATTTCTATGTCATACCTTGAAAATAACCTGTCTTAACTTGTCAGTAACAGTAATCACAGGGTTCCCACGGTCCTTGAGAGTCCTTGAAAGTCCTTGAATTTTTTTGTGCTAAATTTAGGTCCTTGAAAGTGCTTGAAAAACGTCTTAGGTCCTTGAAAAACTTGATAGGTCCTTGAATTTGTCCAATACTGCCGGCGGCCCTTTTTATAAAACACCCACGGATCTTTCTGTTTTGTTCCCGAGCTCTCTCACGTGTTTTTTAACGCCACCGTTTCTAACCGGGCCTAACGTCTTGGTGTCTGCCAAG